ATCTGATACACTCAGTATGAATTGCTTTTGATAGTTCTTTCAAAGATATTTTTTTTACATCACGCCAAAAGAAAATTCCGATTTATTTCTTGCTTCCTTCTCTGTGTTTAGCTACATGTAGGACTTTCAAAACAAACGTGCTTACTGAGTTTATAAAAAAAATCATACTGCAGTTTTGGGGGAAAAACGTAACTTAATTACATGTATCTTTGGTCAATACTTACGTTGATTTAACCACCCTGAGTACATATACACGTATATATAGTACTCACCTCGCTCTTTGTTTTTTTTTTAATATATTGAACTACTTATTATTTTAAATTCTACTTTAATGTTGAGATGAAAATGTTTGTTTTATTGAGTACATAAGGAGTACATGTACAACTTTTTTTTAAAATTTACTGAGTTTTTGTGTTATGTGTATTGGATATATGAAATCTGAAATAATTCTCTCATCTTTGACTTGTCGACAGAATCCCCCCTCCAATATATACACCCTGGGTTCATAATAAAACACAAACTCTTCTTTAAGGACTCATGATAGGCACATATTCGTACATACGTAGGGCAATAAGATTTTCAGTGTTTTAAAGGTGCGTACCTATGTATATTTCAAAATATTTTTGTAGTGAAAATCCTAGATATGCCTAAAACTTTCAAAGGCTAATATCTGTTAAACGCAGATTCAGTAAACGTCTCATTAAATTCAATTAGTGGTTTAAAAAGAGTTGCGGATAAGAGATGGGTACCTTTATACGTAACAGACGAATGGACGAACAGATAGACGGACATTATGTTCACTATACATGTATACCCTCCCACATTTCAAGCGGGTACGGTATTATGAATGTGAAAATTTCAAATCTTGTAATTTTTTATTACGACATAATAAATACAGACTGAAAAAATATCACGGCGATCCTTTTTAAATCTGAATTTGCTCAAAACGAAATTAAATTTTTAATGCACTGTCTTATGTACTCTGACGATCGGATCGGTCAGAAATTTTCGAAAACACTGGTTGTTACCAAATTCTTGCAAATACAGATGTAACTTGTTTCAAATTACGCTAAACAGTTTGCAAAATGTTTTGTATTCCTATAGTTTACATTAAGACGATCACCCTTTTTCAGAAAATTTGAAAAAATAATTGTACTTATGTGGCACACGATTTTTCAATAGCTTGTTTTGGTAGACATTTTCGTTTTTAAAAAATCGTGATTTCTGTATACTCTCAATATCCATCATCAAACTCGAAATATGCTACAAAATTTTGGAAATGACAAAGCTACGAAAGTAAAACGAAAACAAAGAGATACATGTTATTATTCCTGGAATGTTCCGATATGTTAATGATTTAAGGGAAGAACTAGAGGTCTACAAACGTTTGCGGAATTTCGATGATTCACCCGCCTTTCCTTTCCTTCGTGTTTTTTTTTTATCGAAAGCATAACGAACATGAAAAAAGCAATTACGCTTACATCTCTAAATTTCTTACACAATCTTCTTCCTTATATACATTTTTTTTTATTTTTGTCCCCAATTTTTAAACATTTTTAAGTATCCCCATTAAATCACCCGCATCTAGGGTAAATTTTGTTGGTGCTCATCAGCTGGGTCTAAACAAGCTTAGACCACGACGGATGTTGTGAGCTTTGTCAGCCGCAAGGGTCATCTTATTTTTCATGTCGTGTGAGTTCGAATTTCTTGTAAAATCCAAACATGTTCACATGGCACTTTCGTCCGCAAATTTCTAAAATCTGAATATACATTTAAAAGAGGATTTAATGGATATATTAAATGTTTTTAAGCCTTTGCAAAGATAATCTTTATTCATACCGACATAAGATGCGATATCCATAATATGCAATATCTATATCCTGTACAAGACTTCTATTCTCCATTTCAAAAAGGTGAGTTATTTCTCCTGAAGGGAACTCCTTTACTGTGTCTAATACGCATGCGCTATAAAGAAAGTGTATGTTCATGGTGTAATGCCTCTGTCATACGACAAACTGTAATTGTATTTGTGAATAAAAAGAAATCTAACTATTTCGTAATTTTTTGAATTTCTCAGTCAAAGAATCTTTCTGGATTTGCATTAATCTGTATACTAGTATAATAAGGCGTTGTGTGACCCCCCCCCCCTTCTTACAAAAGAAAAATCGAACCAGATTACTGATAAAATGCTGATACATATTCGAATAGGCCTATTTTTTTTGGGGGGGGGGGGGGTTAAATAAAAGCTAAATTTCATTTTCGGTAGTGGATGTTCTGCAGACGGATAGTCATTGTTTACAAAATTTGCAGAACAAATATAAGATTTTTTGTTTTACGAATTAATCTAGCCCTCTGCAGCAATATTTTCTTCTCCGCATCTCTAGGAATGTTTTGGAGACTGATGACATGCATCGTCTCAAACAACGGTCCGGAGTCCGCATATGGGAGAGGATCGTATATTTTGGCCGTGGTTTGCGACGATGGATTACATGTCCATCTACAGTTTTACCTCTGAAACTGCTGCATATACAGCAGTATAGTTCATCTTGCGCGACCGATATCAAGAAACTGCGTTTTTGCTCGATTACATGTCATAACATAGTTTACTTAGAAGAACATTTTTGGTGACAATTAAAGGCCTATTTCATATGAATTATTGGTGTTTCTAGAAATTTATATTTGTAAAAAAATTTATTCAATTTTTCGTATTAAAACTTTGAATGGAATTCCAAATGAGTAATCTCAGACCAATTGAAATAGCATCGACCTGAATTCGTGTTAAATATGTCGAATAAAATTTGAGCTGTATTTAGTTTTAGTGCAGGATCTAAGTGAAAGTATATTCCTGAGTATAATTGACTAAAACAAGAAAAAAGTTACCATGCACCCCCCTTGGAAAACGCAGACCCCTCTGGTAATATATTTGAAATGGGTATGTAAGGTGAAAGATTTGAGGCAACAACAAAAGTCACCACTACATCCCCCACCCCACCCCCCCTCCCCCCACGAAATAGGTTTTTGTTTTGACTGAGGTAACCCCCCCCCCCTTGGAAAAAATTTATGGATCCGCGCCTGACTGACATCCAGCGAAATTCATCTTCCCGGTTTCACCACGACGCGTATTATTAACTTACATGTATTTTGTAAATTATCCTTTTTTAGACATAAATAAGACGAATCCCGTAGATGATAAGATTTTAAGAAAAAATACAATTTTCAGACGAGGAAACATATGGACCTCTTATAAGTACGATACAACTGAATCTGATCATTACACGTCGGAATCTAAATGATTCCTTATTATAACTTCAAGAAACCCACAAACTTTTAAAGGAAATGATTGTACAATGAAGAAAATCAGTAACATGTACATGTACTTTTTATAAAGATATGACGTTTCTTTCGTTTTCAAGTACCTATAAGTATTAGTAAGAGTAGATTTGTGAATAAAATGCATAGTTGAGCTTGATAAAATCATCAAATGCATCACTGCTCAACATTATTATCTTTCTATAACAATACTTTATATCGCGATTACTCAACTAAGCGGAACTCTTTCGCGATGGAGGTAGGAAACGTCTGTTGGATGGGGTCAAATGTGTTATTGAATACAATGCAAGAGCGGTTATTGTAGAGTTTATAAATAAGGATAGATAAGTAAAAAAATCCTTTTGGAATACCTTGATTAAAAGTCGCTGAACAAGCTTAATTAATTTTTGAGACCAGCTAATCCCAAAGTGTGACATTTTTAACGATATTTTTAACTCAGCGGGCTTTTCTCATTAAATTTTTATTGATAATCGTCACATTTTAAAGCCATTCAATATTCTAAACTTTCCTTAGTTGACAATCTACTACACCTGTATTTGGAGTTCAATTTTTGGCAATACATTGCACCTTCGGCATTAAAATGATCGATGTGTCCCCAAAATCTAGAGCTTTCTCGACTCTCACGCAAAAGAGCGGCGGTAAGTTAAGACAACTGCGAGGTACTCGCGATATTACGTATTCGTAAAGTTTACAATAAATACGAGTTATAAATTTTTTTCAATATTTTGCAATTAATACTTTTAAATTCCATTTTCACTTACTTGGCAAACATTAAGTTGCCGGACAGGTAAATTCCGAAATTGAAAAAAAAAAAAATGTCGGAAATGAAAAGAAAAAATATCGGAAATGAAAAAAAAATGTTTGAAATGCTATGCAGGTTTCAGGAAATGAAATGCAGCAATTTGGTTTGAGAAATATCCATAATTTTGATATAGAAAACATTTAAAGATAATACTAATCATAGAACTAGAGGCGCAATGGTCATATGGACATAGACAAGATCACTGGTTTGATGTGTAAAATTGTTGTCTCATATCTTTATAATAAAATATGAAATTAACCAAGGTAAGAGTGCCCTGGAGATAAAAAATGATCATTTGATGTGGCATTTTGATCAAAACTCATTACGACAAGGTCAAATTACGCGGATCAGAGAAGCATCAGGAAGCACAAAACTTTTCTTTTATTGGAAAAGCAAGGCAACATAAAACCATAGTCACGTAAATAAAATATTTTGATATTTGGACTTAGAATATATTTTTCGTATTTAATTTTAATACGACTAGACAACATTCGATCATTCTGTTTTTACATTTCCCAAGACCAATGCCAGTGGATTGGAGGAATAACTTTTGACAAGATACTTAAAATTATGTTTTTTAAGGTAATTTTAATCTTAAATTTCTACTGATTTGTTAATAAACAGCATTTCTCTTCCTTCTCCTATCAATCGGCAATCAAAAGATATTTTTTATTTTCAGTAGTATGCTTTTACGTTATAGTAACTGCTGATTTGTTAAATTGCACTTTATTGTACATGAAATTTGTGGAGGGACAATACGCACCAAAAGTGATTTTTTGTACTTTTATCGCAGGGACGTAGCATCTTTTTTTTGAAAGTGTGTGTGTGTGGGGGGGGGGGGGGTAGCTAGAAATTTTTTAATATCAAAATTCAAAAGAAAATCCTATTCCTGCGAGGGTGTGTGTGTGTGAGGGACGGTGTCTGTGATGGGGGATTTACTACGCTGAGTCTGATATTCATGATACCGGTATTACGAAATACATACATGCAAGAATCGAGTTACAGCCTTAGATCACATATCAAAATAATTACCGGTAGTACTTCCTGGTGGTGTTAGGAATACACGTGTGCATTCTTACAGTGAACCACCAATAATAAACAGACATGAGAAATGAGCTGAATCATTATGAGAGAAAATGGAACAAAAATCGAACTTTTATTCACCGTCCTTTGGGTTGCAGCAAAAGTGATACATATGAACGGTTTGTTTTGTGATACAGAGTATGCGGGATATTGAGGACGTATATTACAAACCTTGGACTTCTCAGTACATTTACAAAGGAGTCAATCAATCCATGATATTACGCAGCATTAGTTACTGAAAAGAAGTTTGGAACACCCTTGTGACGAATCTAAATATTTTTCTCAACATTGAAGCAACAATAGTCTTGGATAACTTGGTAAGTCTGAAGTTGTATTTCATTCCTAAAAATAGATAATGGATTTATTAAAAAAACAAATAAAATAACGATTGAAGAATAAAGATTTAAAATTGTTACAAATTAGTTTCAGCCTTACTACAAGAACAGGTACTTATTTTTACAATAGCCAGATCATGTAGATATACACTGAGTATATAATACGTATGTTTACACGTAAAAACACTTTTTTCAGGTGCTCTGCATGACTTATTTTAAGCTGTATACAATCTGGGTGCACCATGTATCTTAACCTCTTATTTTTCCTGCAAAGTTTTAGGGAAAGAAAACTGGCCTGAGTTTGTTTTTTGTCTGGAAATCTGGATCTTTTCCTTAGGAAAAAATTCCACTAGTCAAGAAGTTTTGGTAGAAAAGCTTTCCGTTTTGGATTTCTTGCAATCAGGTAAGACTTTTTGGTTTCTATAGTTAACCGAAACTAGGACAGACAGAATAATAAATATTAGTACGTAGCACCTAAATATACATTAAATGTACACCTACTTGCAGTTGGTACAGGTTTTAAAAAAGGACGGTGTAAATAGAAGTCTGTCTTAAATCTTTCTCCGTAAACACAGTTTCTTTACATGTCTACCATTTTCAACATTCAGATACATTGTAAGTTGAAAGCCCTTTCATGTTAATGTCTTGTTCATATAAAGATCTAATATCTACATATATTTGTGACGGATGTTACAAGACATTACATGTATTATACACATTTTCGTTTACTAGAAGACTACAATTTGCATTTTAAGTATTGTCAAGTTTCAATTAAATTAATCGAACTTGTGCATCTTTGGTTCATGCAATTATCGATACTCCTCAGACCAATTTAAGGTTCAAGTCATACTTCCACACTTGATTTCAATTAATTTTTTTGTGTTAAAATAAATATGAATACCAAATTTTTAAAACTGCAACACAATTAAAACAAGCACATTAAAAAAAAAAAACGAGGAAGCCTTTTACAAAAGCTACGTATACGTTACAGTTTATCAAAGAGTGACATAATTTCAATTCTAATATTTGAAGTTAGCTATAAACTTTATGTTCAAGGAAAAATTTGTTTTTCATGCCCGTTCAATTTGTGAGAATATTAACACTAAATTAGCCAACCCAGATGATTTCCAAAATAGTTTCAAAGCTAAGAAAGGCCTTTGTATGATCAAATGCAGACTATTTGTCATGGTTAAATTGCCATTATTGATTAGCGAACAGCTTCCCTCGATCGTTCTATGACCAGCACGCATAAAATATAATCTGCATCCTTGAGTATTTCAAGATACTCGCAGTGGGTGGTGGAGGAGAAAAGTTTGATTTGTTGTTAATGTCTATTTAATATGCCATGTTGTTTTATAACAAGACTTTAATTACCCGTTACTAACTATACGTTTTCAAAATATTACTAAAACACTTCTGAACTGAGAGTGAGATCTTTTGGCAAAAATTAAAAAGAAATATAACTTCTAACTTTTTCTCTAAAGATAATTTATTATTTTATGTAGGATAGGGTTATATATTACTACATGTAGCAATGTGTGCCTTTATTTTATCTATATAAATATTTTATCTGTTTAAAATAAACGATTCAAAGCTCCACTATACAAGCTTTTAGCGAGACAAAAAATACATAATATTTAAAAAAAAAATACAAAATGAATAAATAAATAAATAAAAACAGGAACATTTTTTTTCATCTACAACAATAAGCAGATAAGTTTACTTAACCCTTTACTGATATAATTTTTTTAATACCATTAACTTCTGTTTCCTTAAACTTTCAGGAAAAAAACTAAAGCATCTAATAAATGGAGTAAAATTTATGTTCTTACAGATGAATTTTTTGTTTTAAATGTCAGTGGGAATGAGAGTTATGGCTCAGAGGGGTTTTCACTTAAAGGGAAAAAATACATTCTTTGCACCGAGAAATGGCGTTTTTACCCACATTGGAAATTTAACCCGCTGGTCCATAATGGTATATGTTTTGCAGGGTCAATTTACAATTCTGGATCCCCTCATCTTTAAGGCTGAAACATTAATTACTGTGTCTATCTACATATTCGATAAAAGATATTGATAAGACTTTATATTTCTTCTAGGATAATATATTTCTAAACATATTTTGGTTTAAGGACAGATGATACAAACAAAAAATGGATGTCTGGATTGGTATATATTTTTTTGTCTAATTTCATTGCAAATGATGCAAATAATAAATTTCTAGAAAATAAAGAAATTTTAAACCTTCTCTAATGTTCAAAAGTATGCCCTTCTGAAACCATCCTTATTAATCTAATCAATTATTTTCACTTTTAATTCCATTTTTGTGCAAATTTGAATAAAAAGTTAAAAACTACGCGGTGAAAGTTATTCAATTTACACATTTAAACATGACCCAACTTGCTATTTTCAAAATCTTTGACAAAAGTTTGTATCATCTGTCCTTAAAGTAGGACTCCAAGCAATTTGCCCATTCTTTGAACTTTTCTTTTTAATCAGTTCGGTCGATTTTACTTGAGAAAATTACCTTCTTAAAATATCTTTTATTCAACACAAATAATCGCTTAATATGTTGATGATGTTAGGAATAAACAAGGCTTTATTTACATTGTAAGTAGAATTAAACTTAATGTACATGAATCTCTATATCATGTGTCCATCAAAGAAAATGCTTACCAGTTTATTATCTTTGTAGATTATCTGCTGAAAAAACCAATTAGTCTTTAAAAAATATATTTTCATACAACGTTAACGTTATGTTTGTGAAATTTATTCATCGTGTAAGTACATGTAAACTATTTCATTAAAATCAGGTTTTGAACGTAGCTATGTTAATAATTTGATATGCGTTTTAAAATAAAGAATTAATTTGAATTTGCACATTCCGCAGTTATTAAAGGAGCATCCTCAAAACCCTTTTTAATCATGACCGATATATAAATGATATGCAGATTTATCATTTCTGAAAAAAGCATGCATGCACGGAAGAGATTGACCTAGTATCTTTTTGAATTAATAGGCGTGCTCAGAACATTACGTATTATATACATGTATGTAAAACTTATTCATGCTGAATTTTACATATAATATAACTCATTTTAGGGACATAAGAGTGCATCAGTGATTTCTCTCTATTGGATACGCACGAAGCTTCTAGATGCAGCGTTTTCTGTGATTGGAAAAATATATGACAAGAAAGATGCTCCACTACATACCAAAGTTTTGAATGCTGAAGTAACTGTGCAAGGATACCATAGGATCTGTCCCTGCGTGTTTAGTCTAATATACCACTATTCAATTCATCCACACGTTCAAAATGAAGGCGAGGGCAATACCTGTGCACTCGAAACCATCTCATCAAACCTTATTCACATCAATTTCAACGTAGCTATTTATGTAAAAACTATATGTATATAGAACTGTATTTAGCCTTCCGGTGCCTTCGGATATTGGTCTTGTCTCACAAGAGCTGCGTATATCTTTTTAGAGCAAAATACATGGAGTATTTTATTTTTCTCACAAAAAACTGTAAGGAACCTACTAAAGGAATGTACATAGCCTTAGCCTCCAAGAAGAAAAGTTTTACTCTGGAGCTAGTATTCTTTTCTTAGTAGAACTGAATAAAGCCCTCTAGAGAAATATTACTCCACAGTTTTTCAAATGATAATTGTACTAAGCCGTCTAGAGGAATATAACAGCATAGTTCACATTTTGTATTACAAGAACTCTACGTAGAATTCAAAAGAATATTACTCATTTGTTCATATTTCGTCTAATTAGGAATGTACAAAGTCTCCTAGTGGTGTTGTATTAGAAATGTATGTAAATTTCGAGAGGAACACACCTTCGTAGTTCTGATTTTGTCTTATAAGAAATGAACATAGCTTTCTAGAGGAATATAACTCCGTAGTTCAGATTTTGCCCTATCAGAAATGTACATAGCATCATGGAGGAATATTCCCCCGTAGTTCAGATTTTGCCCTAATGGCTATTAGAAATGCACATAGACCTCTAGAGGAATATTCCTCCGTAGTTCATATTTTGTCTTAATAGAGATTAACATAGCCTCCTAGAGGAATATTACTCTGTAATTCAGATATTGTCTTTTTTGAGAATGAAGTACATATAGTCTCATAAAGGAATAATACTCCGTAGTTCAGATTTTCTTATTTAGAACTGTACAAACTCCTAAGATAGTTCAATTTGTCCTTCATAGAACTGTGCATACATAACCTTCTGGAGGAATATTACTATGTAGAAAAGACTTTGTTTACCTCCACTTATGCTGAGTTTTCACCTCGCATTCTAGATGTCTTTTTACAACTACACAAATTCTATCAGATATATTATTTACTCTGTAGTTAATTTTCGTTTTGTAGAGGATGTAAATAAGATTTTGTTTCATTTGTGTCATAATAACCTTTTTGAGGAACCCCGTATATATTTTGTTTTATTGGAATTGCAGTTTTTAAGAGAAATATTACTTTTTGGATGAAATTTTGTCTTTTTAGAGCTCCTCAAAGTCTTTCAATTGAATATTATTACGTAGTTTATTTTTTTGTTTAGTCAGAATTGCAATCCTCCAGAAAAATATTACTAGTATTTCAAAGATATGTTTTTACCTCTAAGTGTTGTAAATATCTAGAGGATTATTACTCCGTCGATAAACTTTCGTCGTAGTACATGTATAGCATTACATAGAGGAATATTACTCTGTGGCTCAGATTAAGACTTAATAGAACTGTGTAATATAAGCCTTCTGGGGGAATATTACTCCCTAGATAAGTGTTTGTCGTAGCAGATCTGTACATAGAAAACTTTTACCCCGTAGTTCATATTTTGTCTTAACAGACTTTACTCCGTAGTTAGATTTTGGCTCAATAGAGCTGTGCATACATAGGTATAGCCTTCTGGAGGAATATTACTCCGTAATACAGATATTGCTTCAATAGAACTTTGCATACTTAGCGTTCTGGAGGAATATTACTCTGTAGATAAGTTTCGTCGTAGTAGAGCTGCACTTAGAGGAATATTACTACATAGTTCAGATTATTTCTTATAATCATCGTACAAAATCTTCTAGAGGAATATTACCCTGTATACGAGATTTTGTCTTACTTAGGCCTTACAACATTTTTGTTTTAGTTTAGAGTTGTAAATAACCTTAGAGGAATATTACTCTGTAGTGAATTTTCAGACTTCAGAAGCTTTGCATTGGTCTTACGGAGGAATATTACTCCGGGGGTAATGGGTGAAGTTTTTGTCACACTCGAATTGTACATGTGCGTATATTTATAGAGGAATGTTACTCCATACTTCAGTGTTTTGTAGAAAGACTGTTCTAAATATGAATAAATTTTTTAAGAAGATATCTCTGATTTGTTTCTTCTTATTCGTATTACAGAGGTTGTATTAAATCATATTAAACTCTGAATTGAAACCCGGAAAAGGTACGGTGAAGCACAGTACCTTTTTATTTTGCTGTCCCTTTTAAATGTAGATAAGTAAATATTTTCAAAAGGAGTATTTTGGTGTAAATACAGAGTTATTGTAAAGAGCATATCTTTAGGAATTTATTTATTATTAATATAGTGTAACACCATATCTGAAACATGTGAAAAGATCCATACAGTTTGTCAGATGGACTTGGTTCCACAAACCGGTATGCATTACTGTTTTATTATTTTGGTTATATATGAAGGATAACTCTTTACGATTTTGGAAAGTAGATTTAGCTTGTAAGAGTTATTGCCCTTTTTGCATGTAAAGTGTAACAACATTCCATAGAGTGAAATATTCATTTATGATACTATTTGAATAATGATTCCTATGTATATCTACTATTATATTTATTGTACCATTCTAATGTTATTGTATATTTTATATTATTTTCAGAGCCAATGTGATTGTTAATATATAAATTATGAAACCAGAAAGTTCTTCGACTTATTATTGCCGGGATTCCCGTTACAAAAAATGGTAATACTTAAGTTTTTATGCAGTGTAGAGCTATCCAGCAGTTTAAAGTGGCAAATTATTTGATTTTGTGGAATTTTCAAGACCTAATATTTACCTCTTTACTGTAGCCTAACCTTAACTGTGCTGCGTACGTGATTCGTGGGCATACGCTTAATGTTTTTTCTACCTGATCAATACACCGCCATAGCAAAATTATTCGCGATTTTTAAAAATCGGTCAGCTTACTTGCGCGTCTCGATTAGGAAAAGAGCGATAACTCTATGGAAAATAAGAGTTATTTATTTTTTACTGAGTTATCTTTATGTAGGAAATTACGTAATTTTATATTGAATTATCGTCTGCACTTCCGTAGTGAACGTAAACAAGCAGAATTAAACCATGGGTCGAAAATCTTCTGAGCTGAGTGCTGAAACTAAAAATATAAGCGTAACTTTGAAAAGTGAAAATCAAAAAAATTCAGAGATAGTTCGTGTTGTGATTATAAGTGATCTATTTAGAATAAGTTTATTCAACGATGAACTGTGAAAAATTTACCTGGAGCAGGAAGACCTATAATGTTGTCACACAGAGATGGAAACTGGATGATGCGGACAATCAAAAGCAACAGTTACAGGACCCTTAATTATGTTACCTTGAATTTAGATAAAAGGAAATGTCCTACAGAAACTGTAAGTAAATGTACAGTCCAGAGATTTCATAGAAAAAAAAGATATCAATTAAAGAAATGTTGTTAGGAAACGAATGGTTGTTCGTGAAGTTAATCGAAAAAAGCGATTATCTTCGTGTTTGGGTAAACGACGACTGAAAGTGGAACAATATTGGCAAAATGTAATATTTTTTGACAGAAGTCAAAATATAATTGGAGATAATCACCGGGTTTATGTTTGGAGAAGAGCAATCAAATGAGGCGTACTTACCCCAATGCATGTGGTCTCCACATAAGTGTCTGGTTGCAGTTATAGTATGGGGATGTGTTACTTACGATGGTGTAGGGACTTTGTGCCTTGTTAATGGCAACATAATTGCCCAAACGTATATAGATATACTCGACAATCATTTGTGGCCAGTTATAGCGAGGCATTTTTCCAATAAGACTTACTATTTCAAGATGATAATGCACCCTTGCACACAGCCAGGATTACGTGTGAGACAAACAACAACATTCCTTCCATCACATGGCCGGCACACAGTCTCCGGACATTAATATAATTGAAAATATTTGGTTGAAAATTAAAACGTTCACCTCAAAACACGGCCAGAGACATCAAAACCCAAGACGAACTTTGTAATGCAATACTTGATACTTCATATGGAGAAATGACGTGCAGTTTATTTATGAGATTGCTCCCACGTGATTTACTTCTCATTAATATTCATAAGATCCTGCAAAAACTCAAATTATACCATTTCTTTAATTTTTTAATATAAAAATGCAAAAATTCTTTTATTTGAATTTCTTTAAGCACTGGGCATACCTAAATGATTTTCTGTTTTGACTTTGGAATGCGTTATAAGCGCAATCGAAACAACACACAAGCGCATTTATGACAACGTGCAAGAACAAAAATGACAACGCACAAGCGCGTTAATGACAATGTGCTAGCCCGTTAATGTCAACGCGCTAGCGGGTTTATAACAAAGAGTTGTGTGTTAGCGCGAAGTCGTGTTGTGAACAACGCTATTGCATTAATGGCGTTGCGCTAGCGCGTAAATGTCATTGAGCTAGCGTATTAATGCGTATCTAGTGCGTTAAGAATAACAAGTTGTGTGTTAGCGTCAAGTCGTTTTGTGAACAACGCGCTATAGTGCATTACTGACAAAGCGCTAGCGCGCTAATGTCACGACGCTAGCGCATTAATGTCAATGCGCTACTAAATTAATGACAACGCGATAGCGCGATGATGACAACGAGTTTGTGTGCTAGCGCGAAGTCGTGTTGTGAACAGCGCGCTAGAGCATTGTCATTTACGCGCTAGTGCGTTGACATTAATGCTATAGCATGTGGTTAGAATACAACACAACAAGAATCGACAATACTAAAATACAACGATACAGGAATTCAACAATACAAGAGTACAACAATACAAGAATACAACAATACAAGAATCAAACAATAGGGTATTGTAATTAACGCGCTAATGCGTTGTCATCATTGCGCTTGCGTGATGTTAGAATACAACACGCAAGTGCATTAATGTCAACGCACTAGCGCGCTAATGACAATACGCTAGTGATTTGTTCACAACACGACTTTGAGCAAACACAGTTCTTTGTCATTAACATGCTAGCGTGTTGTCATTAATGCGCTAGCTCGCTGACATTTACGTGCTGGCGCGTTGTCATTAATGCTCTTGCATGTTGTCTCTTAAGCTCTTACATACTTTTGCAATGGCCCTTTTTAGACACCATATGTTTCTGAATGATGTATGTATTATTTATTGTGTATATATATATGATGTCTAATTTAAATGACATGAAGTTTAAACTAAACAAAAACTGAAGAAGAAATAGCTTTTTGAAAAAATCCATCGAAATTCCTATTTTTAGTCACCATAACTACGTACCAGAACTCGCCAATTTATAAACCCTTGAAAAGTATTATTTATCTTATTGAGTCTATAATTGTGCAAAATTGTATTGAAATTAGACCAAGACGATAGGAGGAGCAGGTTTGAAAACCTTTCACAGGAATTACTATTTGAGTGACCATGACAACACCAATGATTGAAATCCTCCATCCTCCATGCAACCACTTCCAAAAAAAGTATATATAGAATTGGGTATCATAGGTACTTTTGCATTGGCTTACATTGAATTCTTATAAAAACCGGTAATGTTTTGAAATATTCTTTACAGACGAATTTTTGGTTAGGTCTCTCGCAGCAATGTTATGGCTGAAAAAGGGGGCGGGGCCTAATTTATACGGGAAAAGTTTACTGTCACGTCACACAAAAATATAACTTTTATGTATTTCTCATAATACCCAAAAATGAAACAATTTGCAACTTTTAACTGTATTAGCATAATTAACAGCAATAATAATTATGAATGCATTAAAAAATGTTGAGCTCTGGTTATAAACAAATCACTAATCGCGATAAACTTGTAAACATGACGTCATTTTGGTAAAAATGACGCATTTCATGTGCTGTGAGAGGCAGATAAAGGATTTTTTTAACAATTAGAAATGCGTTTTATTGTTAAACGGAATATTATTTACAGGTTTTAAATAGTGGATGAATTCCATTGTATATTCTTTGTTTAGTGCGATTATTTATTTAGCCTACTATCAAGAGAATGTATTTTATTAACTATGTCATGTTTTTATGCACAGGTTGCGTAAATTTTACAATGATATGCCTCGATCATAAAATCGTAGTTTCGCAAGGGCATACACTTAATAGATTTAACCATTGTTTGAATATCGATAAAGGATTTTTTTTAATTTAATGAAAAGTGCTGCTGCTTTCTTTAAATCACCTTCAATCGTGATTTTATAAGACTAAAGTACTCAAAATAATTGGTAAAAGTCAAACATATTTCGACATTGGCTTATTTACCTAAAAAGTTTTAACCATTAAAACGCAAATATATTCAAAGCAGTAGAACTTTCAGAAACTACAATGTATGCAGGAACAATTAATAGTTTGAATTTTTGATTTCAAGTAGGGTATGCCCTTGCGACATGAGATATTTGTTCATGACCTACATTCAGTACACAAACTATGCATTCATCACGTGACTGTCCATCGATGGGACCAAACTTCATACAGTACAGAGTGGGTTATACTATGTTATTTCTATTAGTATTTAAGTTCTGTGATAATAAAACAGCTTAATCAAAATAAACAAAAAATCCCCCTTTTTTGCACGTATATTTTCCGTTGATTTCCCATAGTAAGCCTTAACAGTGCTGCGCTGATTCCTGACCTTAAGTGCATCTGAATGGTCAGTGAGGGACTCAGATATAAACACTAAAAAACAATAGGATTTGAAAAGGACAATTCTGCGATATTGATGAAAATATCACCACATGTGAGTGTTGGTATCTAAAGGAAACTGCGAAAATACGATATCTAAATTATGCTCGGTTGCAAAAGAGACCGAACCAATAATGTTTACTAAAAATGTTTACCACATGGAAAAAATCCCTGAGGAAATGTACAAAAATTTGCGTCGATGTGAAATGTTCTAACTCAAGCGTAACGCAGCATTGTTAAGGCTTGAAAAAGGGGGCAGGGCCTAATTTTTACGGGAAAAGTTTACTGTGACGTCACATAAAAATATGACTTTTATGTATTTCTCATACTATCTGAAAATGAATTAATTTGCAACTTTTAACTGTATTAGCATAATAAACAACAAGTAAACTTATCAATGCATTAAAAAA